TTGAAACTGCCAGAATAAAAAACTGTATTTAAAAAATAATAAAAATGATTTGCATTAAACAGCCATTAATAGTTTGGTAAATCACACACTGTGCTTTTGTATTTGAAACATAGGACCTGTTTTTCATGAACATTTCAGTATGCAAAGCCAGTATTACTTTAAGCAGCATCACTAGAGGTTTCTGCTGTCCAAATGATATTAAGTTTCAGACTAATTAAATTGCATTCTGCATAATGGCCAAATACTCAGCTTCTTCAACAATGGCTATAAAAGGACTATGACCATTTCCATTATTCTTTGCAGTACATCCCAAGAAGATATACTTAATTTATTCTCAGGATGATAAGTTCAAGCAAGAGTAAGAAAAACTGAGTGTGCAAGAAAGCTTCCTAAGAAACATTTCCACTACTGCCAATTTATTATTTAATGAATATATCTGTTCATTTCTGCATAGTGTTAGCCTACAAGCAGGCTGGTAAGAGCCTAAGGACTTACAACAGAAATTTCTTAGACAATAAAACTCTCAGTGAGAGTTCAGCAATAAAAATAAAAATGTCACCTTCTAAACAATGGTTAAAAATAAAGTGGGAGTTATTAAAAAGCGATTATGATGTGCACAATAGCCTTTATTTTATATTTCCTCTAGAAATTAATTCAGTATAGAAATTCTACTTAAGATGACTTGGTGAGCATAACCTAGCAATTAGATCGTGAAATACATACATTATTTACCAGGAGACTCTTTCCCTGAAAAATTGGGTAAATGCAGCCAGAAAAGGAATTCAGCAAATGAGGCAGGAAAATCTGCCCTTCAGTACTGGTAACGACAAAATTGAGACAAAGAGAGTAGATTTCATTTCCAGTCCTAGGTTACAAATGCCAACCAGCACAAGCCAGGATATTTAAGTACAATCCAGCAGTTTGCTGGACAGGGAAGTAATTATGTTTCACTTTTTTGGAGCATGGTTATGGCTGTTTTGAGCTGTAAAGCAATTATCTTCCTTGCCAAAACAGAATCTTTGGACTTAAAAAGGCAGATTTTGTCAACAGCAAAGTTCAAGATCTCCAGTGCTTTTATCAGAATCATCACATCTTAAGCTACAGAAATTTCTGTGGTCTAGAAAAATTCTAAGCTCACATAAAGCATAATTTCAAATCTGTTTATTGAAAGTGATTAATTCAACTAAAAATAGAATGGCTTGGCTTAGAAGTAACCTTAAGAATCATCAAGCTCCAACATCCCTGACACAGGCAAGACCAACTTCCATATCTAATATTAGACCATAAAACTTGGTTTTACCACCACTTCAGGTAAAACATCATAACTCCCATTTGTCTGGCTTTCATAACTGTAAAACATCAACAACAGTTGATCCCATTTATAGAAGCTTTTGATTCCCTCAGAAGAAATTTACTATAGGAAAGGGAAAATCAGTACTATTCATTCTGAAATACAAATTCAGTATGTTACTTGTTGATGCTTCTATTTTCCAATAGGAAAAACATCTTTGAGCATCTCTAAAATTTTGACAAAAATCCTTTCAGATCTCCTTTATAAGGAGTACTGACAGCTCTCAGCACAGAAAGCCACTGCACTACATCTGCAATATCTTTTATATTTGGGCAGCTGGCAAAAAGTGAGAAAATTCATTAGCATGCTAATGATCTGTACTATTTAAAATTCCAGCTCTGATTATTGTGTGATTAAGTCTCTTCCCTTGACGTCTGCTTCCTTATACCTGCATTATTGTGAGAAATCAACAATTAGTAATGAAGTAAAAAAAAACAGGTGACCAATTTATACACCAGACAAACATACACACATTTCAGCGTTTCCTTTGTTGTTGTTGTCTAATGCTTCCCAGACAAAGTGGTATTATCTTCAGTAGAAGACATCTCAAAAAAGTTTTAAGAAGTTGACAGGCATGAAAGATAACAGTTTAAGTGCCAAATTACACAGGAATAGTTATGAGTAGGAATACCTGTGCAGAAGGTTTTAAGACGTTATAAAATAAAAGAGAGGAGTAAATAGAATATTATTGCCTGAAAACAAGAGAAAAAGCAAGACTGAGGTGACAGCAGATCTTGCCACCTTAACTTCATTTTCAAGAGAAAAACAATGCATCTTTTTTCTACAGCAAAAGATGTTTAAAACCACTGATGTATTTAAACTAGACCAAAGCCTACAAATAACAGACTAAGAGACATAGAGGTGGACTTTGTTAACTTGGTGGCCCTGTTAGAGCAGTGAAGTTGGACCAGATGGCATCCAGACTCCTTTCCAACTTCAGCGATGCTGCTATCCTGAGCTACTTTCCACGTGTTACCTTCAGTAACCTACTTCTAGCTGATAGACAGGCAGCTATCTCATAAAAAGTTGAGCTGGGTCAAAGCACAGCACAACTCTGCACAAGGACGGATCACAGATACATCTCAACTGTGTATCAAGAATCAATCAGTCATGCTAGCCTTGCTCGTTTTTGCTATTTAAATTAGCATGGTTAATTTTGCCTCAAGGGGACTACAAACTCTGAGCAGAGAGCTAGTAGAAGAGACAAAGGACAGGGCTGCCAGACCAGGTTGCCAAGGGCCCCATCCAACTTGGCCTTGAGTGCCTCCGGGGATGGGCATCCACAGATTCTCTGGGCAACCTGTTTCTGCTTTTCACCACCCTCTGATTAAAGAATTTTTGCCTAATGTCTTATCCAAATCTCTTCTCTTTTAGTTTCAATCCGTTCTGCCCGTGGTCGTATCATTACTAGACTATGAAAAACATCCATCCCATCCCCCTTCCAAGTACTGAAAGGCCACAACGAGGTCTCCCCGGAGCCTTCTCTTCTCCAAGCTAAACAAGTCTAACTCCCTCAACCTTTCTTCATAGGAGAGGTGCTCCAGCCCTCACTCAAGTTGTATCTTTCACAGTGCAGAAAAATAAACTCAATTTTCTCCAGTTATTTTAAATAACAAAGAAAATGCAAGTGATCACAGCAAAACTAAGCATAACACATCATGTATAAAAGCAACATGTATTTCTCAGCATTTGGCAGCTCTCTTTTCACCCTAATGTATCCCATATAAGGGTATGGGCTTCCTCATCCATAATGAAGCCACCATATGCAGTATTGTGTGGCATTCAACCAAACAAGAGACAGAGAAACAGCTATAGCAACAACCTGCTCAATCATAGTATACTACATCTTCTTTTAATTATGCCATGGCAATAAAATCCTATTCCAAATTTTCATGCTTTGTTTTCCAAATATAAAAGTACCACACAAAATAGCAACTGGTTCATAAAAGTGGATGTCATTTTTAAGATACAATCTGTTCACAATTTTCTAGAGTGTATCAGAATACTGTTATTCTGTTAAACATGGTGGTACCAATTTCATGCTAGCAATTTCAAACCTAGAAGGGTTTCCATACTTTTAAGAAGAGAACAGTTCAGAATACGTGCAAGGAGGTCAGGGACGAGAAAATGAGAATCTTAGATTTCAATTTATGTATCCCTGACCATTATGTGCTTGGTAGAGTTATTTTATGTAGGAATAAATTTCTTGTTATGCCTACAGAATTATAATAAATTAAAAAACAATCCAAGCAGTAAACATGAAGTACTTTGCAATTTATTTTCACAAATTTTAGGACAGTAGAGGTTATATCTAAAAGAAACCTCATTACAGTTACACAAATGCAAAGGGGGAAAAAAAAAGCATCTGCACTGCCAACAATTCTGTTACTTCAGCAATACTCTTGCAGAGGTTTTGTTTGAAATGTTGCTGAAGAAAAATACAAATGAGAAGTGTGTATGTATTAGAGGAAATTTAATTGTCTGAGAAACAAAGGAGAAACTAAATGGGCAGATTGGAAAGTCAGAATACTCCCCCCTTCAACTGATATGCAATTTTAGGCGATGAGGAAACACCATCTGATGTGTTTTCTTTCTGTGGGTTTGGATCACATGGCTTAGGTAATTACACACTACTTTCAGGAACCAAAAAGATCAAAGAATTGTTTAAACAGCCATTTAGTTTCTAACAAAGCAATTTCTAATCTAAGGTGCATGTGTGTTTATTTGTCTAAACTTTTAAAAACTACAGCCCTGGATGTATTCAGTTGTTTACAAAAACTTTGTTTCTAATATACCTCTTCCTGTCCAATTCCCTATGACAAGTCTATATGTGCTTCAAAAACACTCTTCCTCTTGTCAACCAACCTACTGCTCATAAAATTCTGAAAAAGGAAAGAAATTTCAAGTCTCTAAAGCTTCATAATAGCTTATACTTATCTATTTAGAGGTAACTATAGTAACTATATTTGCAATTAATTGTTATTCAGCCTTTTCATTTAATCAAGCAACAAGCCTGTTTTATCTGCCTAACTTCAGGAAGTGGAATACTAGAAAATAGGGTAATCCAAGAATAATAGTGGTTTTGCTATTTTGTTAATTTGTCAGCAGCTTTCCCAGTAAGTAATTGCAAAGAATTTCCTCAGTCCATCACAAAAGTGCCACCTCAGCACACTGCCCTTGTGTTTTTACGCAAGATGCTTTTGGTAAGCTTTAAACCCACTTCAAGCATAAGTTTAAGAAGATAACTCTTTCCTTCAGAGCCATGTACCTATCACACCTCCTTCATTCAGAGCCATTACCAGAGATTTATTAAATAGGTTGCACTGTTGTTACAAACCAACGCCGCCTACTGTCAGCACACAAAAGACTGCATATGCTTTTCTGTACGTGAATTCATGCACACTATCATCATCACTATAATTCTGATGGGACTTAGAAAAAAAATGTATTGAGAATTGGGTTAAGATAGATCTCAAAAAGCAGTATATTACTAGGATATCTCCTCTCTCCCTGAGCACACTCTTCTCCAGAGCGAACAGATGAAAGTTTATCTGTATGTTTTGTAAATGCATGATGGTTTTGTCAAAGCCAGTAGACTTCCAGATGTCTGTGACAGGGCAAAAGCTGTAACAGCCTGTGAACTACTTACCAAAGGCAGTCTCTCCATGTTCAAGTTCTTGCTTCAGTTTGTTGTAATCATCTTTAATTCTCTCTAGTTTCCTGATGTTTCGGGCACTCAAAACTAGAAGCTCACTGAGAAGTCCTTCCACTTCTTCTTTCTCAGATGTTAATGATCTTATTTCTTCTGTCAGATCCTTAGCAGTACCAAAATTACTTCCTGCATATTTTGGAGGGGTAGCAGGGAGAGAGAGGAAAGAGACAATAAAGGAGACGCTTGTAACATCAGTAAGTTACACAGCAAACAAGGGAAATAAAGCAACTATAGTTCCCAACAGCAATAAGACCAAAAAAAGGGGGAAATAAAGCAAACCAGTCTTTTTTCCAAGTATCTATTATGTTAACAGATTAAGAAAGTCTTAACAGCATACCTAATGTCATAAAAAGTTAAGATTCTTGGAGAACGCTTATTCCTTAAGTCTACACTTTAGAAAATTCATACTGAAACATACTGATTACTGTGCTGTCACCTGTCAGACCATTTTCATGCTTTGGAGAACACCTCAACTTGCCATACATCTACAACAGCTGCCATCAATCTTCTGGACTCTGAAATATTCCTCTTTGAACAAAGAAGCACAGTACAGTTGTTCACAACCAGAAAGTGATATCACATTTATTAGGTAACAAGCAACTGCTGTAAAGAATTTCAGAATAAAATTCTGAGAGAATATATATAAAGTCAAGACACTCTGCTTCTGACTGTCCCTAAGCCTCGGAGGTGGCAGAACACCTCAAATGTTGCCTGCTTACTTTGCTCTGGAAATTCCAAAAAATATTCAGGCCCTCTGGACAGTGATCCCGAATCAAAAGTTCAATTCCAGCTGGTTTTGAGTACACACATTAGTAACATCTGCCACTTAACATCTGCCTGCTGGCTAGTTCTCTCTGGACAGGGTAGGAAGAACAAGATGCAAGAACTTATACATATCAGAAGACCACAAACTGTGGCTAAATGCTGAGAGTGGCTCCATTCCTCTGGAGCAGAAGAGTGAACGGAAACACTTCTGTCAATTAACTACAATGATCCTCCTTGAAGAAAGACACTGCTGAAAATTCAAGTAGTCATATGAAGACAGACATACCACAAGAAGATTTCACTCCTCAAAGTTTTGGATAAGAATGTATCAAATCATTTAGGTCCAAAGATTAAACCCTGCTAAAAACTGCCTTTTTTGCTGTTGTTTATTTAGTCATGAAGGACTAGTTTCAGCAAACCTCTTCTTGCTTAAAGTTATCATTTCTTCTTCAAAACACCCCTAATTCCTGCTCCTCTGAGAGTTTGCCAGTTCTACCTGACAAGGAATTATACAATTAAATAATTATAAGTTATTTATTTTCCTATATACAAGTAGTCGGATCTTATTGTTTGCCAGTGCATTTATGAAGAAACAACAGGGCAAGTGTAATATCTTAATGCACCACATTTCCAAATGGACAGAACACAGCAGAAGATAAGCATGACCGCCACAAAAAATTGCCAGGAAAAAAAAGCAGATATTCAGATGTTTCTACGGCAACAAGACAAATAATTAAACAGTGTGCCTTTATTTCACCTGAACTCATCCCAAGCATCAGTGCACAAGAGCCTTAATAAAACATGAAGGAAAGAAATTTTTCATTAGAATCTGGAACTTCTCTCGCATTTCAGAAGCCAGCAAGGAAAAAGGTATGATATTTTATATGAAAGTTTTATACATATTAAATGGATCTTAATTCCCAGAGGAAAAGTTTATATCAAAACCGAGGCTATGAGGAAATGGCAACAGATACATGCCCAGAAGCCAAAACTGCCTGATACAGCTTCTCCTGACAGCAGAGATGTCAAAGTCCGCAGTGAAATTTCAGAAAAGCATATTCAAACTCATGCAACATAAGTGTCATCAGTGAGCTTCTGACCTCAATCACAGCAACCAAAATAACTGTTTTCTAAATGCCATAAGAAGGTTGATTTAAAAATTAATGCACAACTCCTAGCTGCCAGCATAAAAAGACATGCCCTCCTGGGCTCTTTAAGAGACAAAGTCACTTCGGATGCTGTAGAAATAATCTTCAAACCTGTTAAAATATTTTATTTTGCTTACATATATGAAAATGTTAAAATTTCTCTTTTGGTAAAATAATTGTATTTCACCTAAGTGAACAAAAAACCTGCTGCTTTATCAAACACTCAAAGCTGTGTTTTATATAGCCATACCACTGGGAGAACTAGTTGGCTGATATCAAATGAAAAATTTAGTCATAACTTTTAGAATCATAGAATCATTAAGTTTGGAAAAGACCTCTAAGATCATCTAGTCCAACCACAAACCCATCCCCACCATGCCCACTAACCATATCCTTCAGTGTCCCATCCACACATTTCTTGAACAACCCCCTGGGCAGCCTGTTCCAATGCAATGCAGGGATTTCCTTTCTAGGAACCACATAAAGTCGGGCTTATAATAAAAATCAAAATTATTCACCTTTGTTTGGAAAAACTCATATTTCTATGAGCTTAGCACTGAAACATCATATTTTCATTTTTCAATTAATTTGAAGACTACAGTGCTCTGAGCAGGTTGAACAGTATGCTAACAGTACACTGTCAAACAGAGCTGAGTACATACGTTTCACAGTAAGGTTTAACTTCTCAAAGTAATCTTTGAAGACAGCAACAAAAACCAAACTTCCTCCTTAATCTTGCCCTCTAGAGCCCTCTCACACAACCTTTATCTCCCTCTCCCTACAGACAATAAGATCAGCTAAGCTCCACTGGCTTGATGAGAACACAAAAAAACACCAGCCAAACTAAGAAAAACATTGGAAAAATAAAAAAATGAAAAAGCATACCCAGGAAAAAAGTAGCCATATAATTATTTCTATTCATTGTGAAACTAAATTGTATACAGTAATTAATAACTTAGATTGTTTTCCTCTCTTCTGAAAATTCTACTAGTATGGCCACATACAACAGCTAAATGGCAGTCTGCACATGTATCTTTTCTCTATGTGTAATTACACTATCAGATATTACTTCATCAAGCAGATCATTGCCCACATATTACTCTCAAACTAACATCCCATTAATTTGATAGTATATGCCAGTAACAAATTGACTAAAAATATCCTTTGAAGTCTTCAAAACACAGAACGAAGTTAATGATGCACAGTCTTTTTTGCTCTAAGTCTTTCTCATATTTATGCCAGAAAGTACGTACACTCACAGTTTCCATTATTTATGCTAGATGCAGAGAGGTATATTCCACCCCCACTGAAACTATATTCGTTACAATACAAGCAAAGGAACAATTTTTGCATAGCATTGAAGCATATGTTCCAGACATTCAGACCAATGTAGGAAAGAAACTGGTCTGTACTTATCATTACCTATAAGCTAATCCTTCATAGACTAATGGTACCTTTAATGACACAAAGAAGTGAAAATTCATGTTTTAGCTTAGGGCATTCACCACCATGCTATTTATCAAAGGCACTGGAATTCAAGCCTGAAAATCCTCCACCCCCTGAGAATACAAACCAATTCCAACCAGAACAAAACTTGAAAAAAATAAATATCATTTAGCTTCTCACAAAGAAAAGAGAAAACAGTAAAAACATGAGAGGAATATAAGATTTTGCAGGTAGTGCCAGTGTGTTTGTGCGATTATTTTTTTCAAGTAATAACATGTGCTAACACATTTAGGGAGCAAAATGCTACTGAAATGATTGATATGATTCTGAAAGGTGAAATAATATAATCAATTTAGAAGTAGACAACAGACCCCAAAACATTCATTTAGAAGAGGAATTCTCTGCCTTAGAAAGCCTATTGTACCAAGCCTAATCAGTCACCAAGGAGCAGCAATTCAGAAATCCACCACTGATCAAATAAATTAATAAATTAATTCAGTATTAACAATTCAAAGACTCAAGTGAATATTATCAATGAGAAAAGGCACAAAAGCCTTGAGGAGAATAGTCAGAGATTTGGAAGTTGGTAATTCAGCAACACCAAGATGTAACCTGTTTTAAAGAGCAATAGAGACCAGTGACCACAAGGTTCCTCCAATGCTCTGGTGCCTGCACTGGGAGAGATGAGCATAAGATCAGCTCATCTCCCCTCTCTCTTGCTTCTGCCTCCCCTCCACACCACTGTCAAAGGAGAAGACAGACACACTTGAGGGTAGGGGCCCAGACCAAATCTTCATTATCTAGAAGGTTTCATGAAATCATCGTGCTCTTTTTACCAACCTAACCAAGAAGCAAGTCACCTAGAATTTTGTACTAACAGTGCATGCACTGAAATTCAGGGGATTGTCATCTTGTTCTTCTGGACAATTTGTAGGAGGGACAACACTAACCCGTTCTACAGACCACACAGGAGGTTTTCTTGCATCCTTTACAGAGATCTTCCCATGGGGTCAGAACATCAACCCTTCACAGCTCTGCCCATCCAGAAAAGGAACTGCCAGAAAGATTATTCCACTCTCCCTCCCTCCAGGGAGAGCAGGTTAGGTAACAGGAGAGAAAGAGAGTTAAGTCTCCACATGGCTGACTGACTGCAGGAACAGAAGTAATGATTTTCTGCTGTCTGGTCACATATCATTTTGGGGTTTCAGCTACTACAACGTACCTTTTTAGTTCACTGAAAGCCTGTCAATCTCATTTGGATGTAAGATAAAAAGACAAATAGCATAGTTTTCTTAGGTTTATGTGACTGTTAAGAACTTAGCTTTGGAGCTCGCTAGCGTTATTTTTTAAAGTGGGTTAATAGGCTTTTCAAAAGTTCATAACTTGTAGCAAGACACTTGGATGGGGCATAAACTGATCATTGTGGGAATACATGCCAGTACACAGTGCTGTATGCTGGAGAAGGATGTGATACAAGCATGAATTTTAGTGAGAACAATTGGTGAATAGGTGGATGGTTGGACTGGATGATCTCATATGTCTTTTCCAACCTTGGTGTTTCTGTGATGAAGAACCAGTTGCAATATGCTTCTGAGGCATCAATCCAGACTGCTGTCAAAAGTAAGATGCTAAATGCAGAGAAGCAATTTTGTCATCTGACAAGACCCAGGTCTCTGTAAAACTCCAATTCACCAAAAAAATTAAGCCTATATGAGAAGGTACAAAGGGGCCTTGGTATTCTTGTCTCTAACACTAGTCAAGTCTTCC